ATAGCATCGAAATTCAAAATGTTGTTTGCATCTTATGTTTATATATTACTTTTTTATTACTTTCATTTAAAATATAGTTCGATCTATATCAGAAACCGCATAAATAAAAGTTTCAATGTTTGCACATAGTTCACAAATATTAATCATACTTCAAAAAATTTTCATCAAAATTTTGAATTTTTTATTCAGAATTTCTAGAACATTTTTTAGTATGCAGTTTGTTAGCCCACTAAATTCTAGTATAATAAACCGATTTTTTTTCCATATATCGTATGAATAAAATCTATTTTTAAATGGAAGAAAATGCGCAACACCCTCGGCGAAAAATGTTATAAAAAATCAACGGTAATTTTTAGCGACTTGCAACTTGCAATTTATTGGTCTAAAATTGAATGGGGTACAAAACTGCATACCCGAAATTTTCTAGAAATTCTGAATAAAAAGTTTGAATTTTTGATAAACTTTTTTTTTTTTGTTTGATTAAGTTTTGTGAACCTGGAACTTTTATTTATTTGGTTTCGGTTATATCGAGCCATAACTGCCAAAATAACGTAAGCGACATTTATTTCAAAATTTTCTTTTTGATGCAGAAATGTCTCAAGATAATCGAGGAATATTTCTGCATCAAAAAGAAAATTTTGAAAAAAATGTCGCTTACGTTATTTTGGCGGTTAGGGCTCGATATATAGATCAAACTATACTTTTAATGAAAACTATAAAAAATAAATAAATAAGCATTAGTTGCAAACCACATCATTTTGAATTTTGCTACTATTTTATTTAACGCTACTATATATACAGATACGATCAACTAATTAGCATCGAAATTCAAAATGATATTGTTTGCAACTTATCCTTTTTTTTAAATAATTTTCATTTAATATATAATTCAATCTATAACATAAACCACATCAATAAAAGTTTCAAAGCTACCACAAATTTAAAAATAATAATCAAAGTTCAATAAACTATCAATTGAATAAATTTCAAAATTTTTAATTAGAAAATTAGAAAATTTTCGGATGTGCACTTTTGTAACCCATTCAATTTTAATAGTGCAAGTTTCAAGTCGCAAAAAATTGCCGTTGATTTTTTAGAATTTAAAAATACATTTTTATCTTGCGTTATAGTAGCTGACAAATCTGGTTGATTTTTGGGCATTTTTTATACGAAGTTTTTTATTTTTCCCATATAAAAATCATTGGTTAAGTACATGGAAATAACTACACAAGACCGTCGGCAAAAACGTTCCTACGACAGTCGGGTATGTATATATTTTGCAAAAAAGCATAGCAAATAAATGCGACACTGTGCTAGTGGTTTTGTTGGTGGAATTGCTACATATTTCTCTCACTCCTCTCATTTCGCTCACTTAATTTTTTTGCTGTATCTTCATAGTTGCCAACTTAGTGCTTTAAGCACTAGATTTAGTGCTTTTTGAGCATTAGAACGCCAATGAAATGGTTTAGTGCATAGTGCCTTTCTAGTGTTTTTTTTCTGAACTCAAATTTCTTATTAGTATAGAGTTAAAACATGAAATAATTTGAACTATTTAATGCTGTGGCAGCACTGAATTTACACAAATCTATAAATTTAAATGCACAAGAATGCAACCATGATGCGGAAAAGCTGAGGGTGCAAACCAAAGTTCTTGTAAAATTGTATTCGCGTTGAAATTGCTAGCACGCAGGTAAGTAAAGTTTTTTTTCTAATATCTACATATTTTGATTGATTACACAGTTTGCCACATTTTGACTTTTTTTTAAAACCTGAGTGGAATGCATCGCCTCTTGTAGGTTTTTTGGTGCTGAATCCAGAATTATGAGATATCCTTACCACAAAGTACCAAAACCCGATTTTTCGTGATATTTGAGGTTGGGTATATTATGAAAACAACAATTTTTTTTGCTCATTTCTACTAAGGGCATCATTTAGTAGTATATTATGAAAACTACAAATTTTTTTTTGCACATTTCCACTTAGGGCATCATTTAGTATTACCTTTTCCATTTAAAATTCATTTTCGTTTGTTGCGATTTAATTTTTAGCTCTCGAGTTATACCAGTTTTAATATGCAGTTCTTCGGTATTACTTCGTAAGCATGAATCGTAATAGCATGTGTAGTGGCCATTCAATCGCTATGAGCGAAAAAGTTTTGGTAATTGATTTATTGTTGTAAATGTTGTTTCTTTTTTGCCTTTATTAAATACAAACTATTATGAAAAAAGTATCATTTTATTAAAGGAATATTAGTGTTTTAAGTGTGGTTAAACGTGTTTTTCCAAGTTTTGGCGCTTTTTGAAACTCAAAAGTTGGGAAGACTGATATCTTGTTATGTTTTTGAACTTGAAATTTGCATCCTATGCAAATCCTATACATCAGTGTTGATAATTTCGATACAATTGTACTTTTTTGATACAATTTCAAGTGCTTTCTACTTTCCTACTACCCAGCACTTTTTAGTACAATTTCAGCTGTAGTCAAAATTTGGTAGCACTTGATTCGTTATATTATACAGCACTGTTTTGTTTAATTTCTGAGGTGACATTAGAATCGCATAAAATTGATATACGAGGGGTGTATTGTGGAGCAGTAGCAGAATTGTTCATTTGGCAAAACTGAAATAGGAAGATATTCTAAGCTTTAGAACAAACGTCAAACATTTTGTCGTACTATGAAGAAAAAAATTAATTTTAGTGACTAAGTTCTAAATATGGGCTTCAAAACTGAACGCGTCTGCTGTATTATCAGGCAGTATGAAAATCATTCAATCGTTCAACTAATGCACTTATTGTTTCAGAAGTGTAAAATTGCGAGAATAGAGGAAAGCAACACAGAACTTGAGGCTGAACACCTTTTTTTTTTGTAAATTGTGTCAACCTCAATACTTGTGAATTTCTGGAAAAAGTAAGAATCACCAGAAATGTTTTAAATGAGCCACTGTTTTCAAACACGTACAACATCACTCAAGGTTTGTTATTCTTCAGCAAATGTTGATAGGTTCTTCTAAATCGAGCAAAACGTATTTGTTTCAATTGGAGCGTATATAGTAAAGATCAAAGCGTACATACACGTTTGTAATTGACGTTTTGCTCGATCCTATGCTCGTCGCTTTTATCGCCGTTCCACTATGCGTTTAGCCTTAGAGTAATTCATTATCTCAACGAAGCGGGTGCGTTTATTGGATTGTTGCATTTTAGGCAATTGCGTTTTGAGATTCAATCGTATACCTATTAAAAAAAAAATAAGTATTATTATCTAATTTACAAAATTCTACCAATTAAAACAAAAGTGATGGTATTTAAGGTTTGTGTGGCCATGAGTGTAGTTCTGAGCCGCTCGTAGTAGTTCGGGCCCCGAAAATAACTTGCAACTTAGTCCCCTTTCAGACACGTCAAGTCTTGCTTTCAAGTCTGCTCGTTCGTTGGCGAAGGAGGTGGGAAGAGAGGGGAAGAGTACAGATACCTCCGTACCGTCAATTCGTTTCAAGTTTTCTTGTTCTCTTTTGATCTTTTCGTTGCCTCCCATCTAAAGATCCAAGGACTTGAATTCAATAAAACTTGACGCAAAGAGAAAAACACAAAAGAGAATGCGATAAAAATTGCTTTCAAGACTTTACGTGTCTGAAAGGGGACTTACTACATAAGGCGTCATCGGAGGTCTTCATTTTGTATTTTAGTAATAGATGACATTGATGATGATGCCAATTTTGCTTCTATCGGATCTGTTCATAAGGGCAGATGCGTTAGTTGAGTGGTGGGGTTTAGTGGGCATGCGAAGAAGACTATTTTTGGCCTAGTCACAAAACCATTGTGCTTATAGTTGTAATTAGTAGACAATTTGTCTCATCCTTCCCTATGTACTAACATTGAAGTGACAATGCTCTAGGCATGTGAAGATATTATCTTATATTTTATATCTGAAATTAAAATAACGGTGTTTTAAGCAATTTTTGGAAATATCTTTAATGTGTAACTAAAGTTTCTTTTATAATGTGTGGCAACACCGAAGCACATTTGTAAGCAAAAATAAAAATTAAGAATGTGCTCGCGCTGCTTCCGTGTGCTTTATTGTTTATAAAAAATGTTCGGTGTTTGGCAAAATTCGATTTTTTGTTGTGTTTGTCTCGTCTGGCATTTGCACTATTTCGGCATGTGTTTGTGTACACATTGAAAATAAAAACAAAAGGCAACTAAGAAACACTCAAAGCAAAATTCACAAATGCGAATAGCAATGAGCACATTTATGTAAACATCGAGTGCGCAAAGACAAAAAGAGTAATAATTTTAACAGCAGAGCGTCGAGCGAGCTGCGTTCAAATGAGCGAGTATACTGCAAATTACAAAGAGTTGAGCTCTGTTAACCCTTCGCCGTTCACAATTTCCAAACTTATTGAACATTAGGGTATTGCACCAGTCAATCGACACCTTCGAACATCATGCAAAGTTTTTTATACACATACATGCTGTAACAATAATGAACTTTATAAAAAACAAAAGGAAAACTTCATTTTTCGATTCGTGGAAAAACAAGAATAAACCCCAATAATTATAGATTGGCGCTTACCCCCCATACCCTCCCCCCCAACGGCCGCCATACATATATACATATATACATTAAATACTTTAAATAAATTATTTGGCGAATTCGAGCATGTAGAATGCAATGCAAAAATTCGCAGCATTCCAAAACGTCCAAATACAAATCAGTAGTCTCTTATTTCTAAAACGCACTAAAAGAAAAAGTCTAACTTGCGCAACCTAGTCGAAACTTATCTAACGGTGGTTTAGAACTAAAATGGACAGTTGCTTTGTATTTTGACGTTTTGGAATGCACCCAGTGTATGCAAAATGCCGAGAGAATTGGGCGAACACAAAAACGAATTTCAATAAGAAAAGGAGAGCAAAAATGTACAATCATTGCCGTTCTCTACTGTTGCTCACTCATTCGTTGGCTTTCTCGCTCGTTTTTTCACTAGCTGCATCGCTGCTGTTCTTCTAACGAATCGCACAGGCAAAGTCAGAGTGAAATAGAAGCAATTTGTGTGTGTTCTCGCGACGAGTACGACTTCATCCTGTGTAAATAATTTGTAATTAATGCAAAAACGCCTAAAAATTTATGCAAAAATCGCAAGTATTCGTTTTCACATAAGAAATTAAGCAAGTTATACATATATAGTAATAAATCGTGTGTGCGGAGGTCGTAACATTTTGGGTAAATTAAGGAAAAACCTGAAGTAAAAAAAACGAAGCACGCAGAAAAGCAAACGCCGCTGCTTCGCGTTGTCGCCAGTTCGTTGATGTGTGCCCTTGCCATACCCTTACTACGACCAACCAACCAACCGAGCGTCTACCATTCTTGTAATTATTGTGTAAAGTGTAAATCCTGAAGCTAAAAACAGCAAAATTTGCTTATAAAAAGCCTAATTTTGTTAATTTCTTCATTGTTCTGCATCTTGTAATCAATTCCTTAAAAACAACGTTAAATTAATGAACAAAATGTTCCAACACTTTGGTGGCTATTACATATTTTAATACAAAGTTTCATGTGTAAAGTGTGTGTAACTAGAAATTAAAACTAGAAATATTTTTTTGGCTACCGCTAATGAAGAGTTGCAACTACTTCGAATATCCATTTAAATAAAAATAATTAAATAATTTTGGGTACACCGCCGATTACCCACACAGTGTATTAATTTGAACGTACTTCGGCACAGCCTAAAAGAAATCCTTTGACCACAAAACGAAGACATAAAAAGGTAAAAATCAATCAATTCTTGGGTTTATTAAAATTATAAGGGAATATCAAAACAATGCAATACTGTTGTGTCGTGAAAAAAATAAATTATTTCTGCTTTTAGAACATTTGTGTAACGCAAAATTCATATACATATGTATGTGATACATATTATGTACATATGTATATACACATGTACGTAGATATGTACATACACAGTCCGTTGGCACCCGATATTTTTACTTGTGCTATCGTTGCATTGGACAAACAACATGCACCTCAGTCTTTCATAAAGCATAAAATAATGAGAAGAGATATACATATATGTAGGTAGATAATCGACTCGGCCACGACCAAACAGAAATGGTCGTTGAGTTGTTACTGTTAACACGCTAGGTGCTGTCCCTACAGCAAGCACTGCTTGCCTTTCAGTTGGTTCGATTGATTTTCTGTAGTGTACTTTTACCTTCCTTGTTGGCTGTGCCAATAGCCGGCTGCTGCAGCAGGTTTTCGCCCTTTTCAATACTTGTGCACACATATATTACTCCTAGTTGTCTCCTATTCCTCCTGTTCCATGTAGGTATGTATGTATTACTGCTGCTAGCTCACAACTTTGGAGCCATGCACATCCCTATAAGCATGTGCACACATTCATCTGTATATACATATATCTAGTATGTATATACATATGTAGATACATACTACATATTCTCTTATATATATGTACCTATGTACGTATTTTTTCCTGGATTTCGCTTTATGCCGTACGTTTGAATCTCCTTTTTTCTCCTAGACGTTTTTTCTTTAGGATTATTGGCGCATTTTTTGTCTTGTTTTTGTTTGTTGTTTTTGTGATGTTTTTATTTGCGTTCATATGTACTCACATATGTATGTGTGAATGTAGATATGTATGTATGTACGTTAGGGTGATCAAAATAAACTAACCTAACGAGTTTATGGTCTAAAAAGGCCTCTTTACTGAGAAGAAAATTCTCACGTTTGGAAAAATTTGTATCCAATCTTGAATGGTGTCGGTGGAATTAAATTAAAATTATATGGATTTTTTTTTTTTTCACTAAAAATGTTATACCTAACTATTGAACCGCTGGAGGTAAACATTTTTTATATGCATATTCTTGTAGGGCATTAAATTTTCTAAAAAATGACCTTGCTGTTAATGTCTAGATCTTAAAATGTATATACTACCAAGTTAGCACTGCACTTTTCGAAATTGGAAAAGTTAAATATGACATTAGTTGTAGGAAAGAAAAAATTTGTAGCTCTCATTTGGTATGTAGTGCTAACTTGACACCATACACCCAGTCGATGGAATTGAGATATTGAAATTGTTATACCGGCATTAATTGTAGCTTCTTCGGTGTGGAAAGAAAAAAAATTGTAACTTTCGTTTTTTAAGAAAAAATGGTATGTAGTGGTAACTTTACACCATACACCCAGTCGATAGAATTGAGAAAGGAAATTAATTGTAGCTTTCGTTTTTCTGGAAAAAATCGAGTTGACCGTTTCTCGAACAAAATTTAGTACAAAGTGGAAGTATTTTACTAAAATTTCATAAGTATTGTAATTGCATATCCAAATTTTGTAAAAAAATTCTGATTAAAAATCTCAAAATTTGGATGAAAATTTGTTGAATTTTTCTGAATTCTACTCCATAAGTACGACAGCTGAGTGGAAGATCTATATCAAAAAACTTTTCAAGAATACCATATTTCAGAATTCGTTTCAAAAACGCTCGTTCTCAGCTGCCGATTCAGCACATTTTCAATACATTTTGAAGTGAGATAAGGAGTTCTTCAACCAAATTTTGCGATAGGGTGTTTTTCAATAAAATTCTGAAATATTTCGTTCTTGAAAAGTTTTTTGAGGTAGGGCGTTATCGAACTGGCAGCCGAGATAGGTCGATCTTCTACTCAACAGTCGATATATACAGTTTGAAAGTTTCATTGTATATATAAATATGGTTTTGGTAAAAGACGTACAAGAAATGGCTAAGAAATTTTCTTGAGTCAAATTTCCTTAATTTACTACGCTTTCTACTACGGTTTTCTAAAGTTTTTAGTGAAAAAAGACCACAAGGCAACCCAGGTTTGCAACAGAAATATATGCCGGTTCCATTATTTCTTGAGGAAAGAGGCTGTGACTTATCTAAAACGTCAAAATTCCTTGGACACACACACGAAATAATTGCAATCTTTTCTTGACCGTTTTCTTGAGAGCTGCATACAGGCCATAAAGTATGAACCATATTTCTAGGGAAAAATAACATTCAAAATTTTAGCTTGGAAAACATTGTAATTATGTATTAAGAACAAACAACCATTCATCCACTTTTGACCGCCAGTGTATGTTAATGCACGTCCGTGTGTGCTAAGCGCTATCATGAACGATTAACATTTGGTTCACGCAGCTGTATCATACTTTCCTCTTGGTTACCATTTTCTTTTAATGCTGCCATGATGTTTTCCTTTTCCATGTATGTATTTTTATGTTTCTAGTTTTCGTTTATTCCTGGATTTCTTTAACACTGATCGTAAAAAAATATTCTAACTCGTTGTTCATCTCTTTACGCTTTTTTCGTTATTTATATATATTTTTTACTCCTTGCTATGCAGTTTTTCTTCCACTTATATAAATATACAAATGCGTGAACACAAACAAATGTTCCCATGTCGCTTTCAGTGGCGATGGTTTTGCTGTTGCTCTTTGCATTCTTATCTACCGGTTATTTGCGTTGTTATTTTTCAGGAAAGTCATGCAAACAAACATACATATAATACACACTTGCATGCAATTGATTGCAATGGTGCGAGTTTTGCCGAGCCTGTTCGACATTCTAAAATGTGATGCCTTTTCGACAGGTGCACACAATTGTCTACATATTTTTTTATTACTTTTTGTCAAATGCAGAGAAAACTGAGATGCAGAGATACTTAACTTAACTTTGTATATAAAGGAGGCGCGTTTCACGAAGAACGCCTCAGATCAATGTACCAATGATAGGCATGGTGCTCACATTCCCCTTATTCGACCAAGACTAGCTTTGAGTTCTTCAAAGGCGGCGACAGTGGGTCATCGGCTAAATTTTTTTCTCCTAAGTTTTGCTTATTTCCTTTCGTTTGCTTCTACTTTCTTAATAGGTGGAATTACCCCCTTCGAGTTGTAATCTGCGTTTTTCAAACGGCATAAGCTGCAGTTAAGGCTTGGTGGAAATCAACTATTACAATTTAAATGAAGTTAAAAAGTACAAGTTTATTTTTACTGTATGATTAGTGAATGAAAGTTTTTAACAATGTGAGTATTTACACACAGTGACTCAAACAATTGACCTGACCACTTGTTGAATTTTTTTTAAATATTCTTAAGCTTTTCTAGCAAGTTGTTTTTGTTTTGTTATTTTTCTATAAAAATACCGTCCAAGCTTTATCCAAAATCATATAAATCACAGCATAAAATTGTTTACAAAATTTAGGAAAATTCCACAAATTTACAATCAATTTGAGGCAGAGTTTAATTTATTATTCAAGTGGCATCCCTTCTAAAAAAATATGCTTTATGTTAATTCGCGTCATAAGTTATCTGCACGCCCAATTTTATACAAAGAAAAGCCACAACAAACATACTCATACACTCACTCACAAACTTTCACATATATAATATTAGTGCGATTTCATTTAACTTGCCAACTAAATTCCTAAACTGGTAGCAACCTACCAAAAAAATATTTTTTTAAATAGATATAGGTTTCGTAAAACCTACCGTTTGATACCCCATTAAAATATTTTATTCAACTTGTTAAATAAATTTATTTGGAATTTCTAAATAGGGGGCAGCTCCCTTTGAAAATATTTCTGAAATAAAGCTATCCTCTCTACTTTGAAATCCATATTAAAATATTTCATTTAACTTGTTAATTAAATTGGTTTTTTTTTATCTTTTTGCACAGGTGGCAACCACTAAGAAAACATTTTCGAAATAAATCGTTTTCTAGCCCTTTTCATTTGACGCTCATATTGTTGGGATATTTTTTATTTAAAATCTTAAAAAATAGATTTTAACTTTATTAACAGGTGGCAGCCCCTTAAAAAATATTTTCGAAATAATTCGTTTGAGAACACCTTTCGTTTGACACTCACACTGTTGTAATATTTCATTCAACTTATTAATTAATTGATTTTAATTTATGAAAAATGTTAGTCAAGGCCATAGTTAGGGATGGCAAAAAAAAAAATCTTAATTAATCATATAATTAATCACACGCAAAAAAAAATTAATTGCAATTATTGAGTGAGTATTCAGAAAAACATTTTTCTATAAACAATGTCTAATGTCTGTTGTTAATTAGCCTTAAATCAAATAAAACTAGTATTTTTAGCAGTACGAATAGCAAGTTTTGCAGGATTTACAGGAAAAGCTTTTTTAGCCATTAATAAACCTTCTGTAAGGTGTCGTGCGGGAACAGCTTCCCGGCAAAAACAAAAGTTTTGATAACCGTTTTGTTGCTAAGCGGTTGCGTTTGAAAAAAGGCACTCAGCAGGCACCGAGGTACCAACTAAATGTCAGTATTTTTTGACGAAAGTCCGTAACGTTTTGGGTAAACAGTTTTCATTTCCTCAAGGTTAACCAACTTGCCCACTAATGTTTCCACACTAAGGGCCGTTTTCTCAAGCAGGTTTTAAAATTTATCTTTACTGTATGCTCTGAACTTGATCAATTCTTGCGGCTGTTTGCAATTTCAGAAAACAACAGATTCCATATTTCTTGAACATTTTGGTACGATTATTTTACAACTAAATGTCAGTATTTTTACGAAAGTCCGTAACGTTTTGGGTAAACAGTTTTCATTTCCTCAAGGTTAACCAACTTGCCTACTAATGTTTCCACACTAAGGGCCGTTTTTTCAAGCCGGTTTTAAAATTTATCTTTACTGTATGCTCTGAAAATACAGATTCCATATTTCTTGAACATTTTGGTACAATTATTTTACAATTAATCGATTAATAATCGAGTAGGGAAGGAAACGACAAACTATGATACAATTAAAGCGTATATTGGAAAAAGACTGTCTGAGAAAAGTAGTATTCTTAATTATGCCTGATATTACTGATTTTACTCTTGTATTGCAATTTTAACAATGCTAATCACATTTTTCTTCTTTCATTTCAGTGTGCATGTCTACTTCTTCTTCAATCGTCGCTTTATATGGTCAAATGCAAAATAAAAATCTCATTAGTGTTAATATCGTGAAACAGTTCTTGTAAAATATTTGTGTATAAATACATATATGTAAAATAATCGAATTACTTGCAAACATATACATACATAGTAAATACAAACAAACAAATGCACATCAAAAAATACCGCATATAAATAGTTAGTGTAGTGATATTGGCTCTTTTATCAAGCACATCTGTAAAAAGCAAAGTATCAAAAATAGAAAACAAAAGAAAAGTGTTGTATTAAAGTTGTCCGCAGCATCTGTAAATTGCAAATCTCACAGTATTTCAACGGTTTCTTGAATTTTACGAAGCTTCGTTGTAGAAAAAGAAACAAACGCATTTTAATGAAAGAGCGCATCTTTTACTGCATGCCGAATCTTAAGTGATATCATCTATGAATTAAAGCTCTTAAACGAAAGTATTGCATTTTTAAAAAGTTAGCCAAGCCAAGTGTAAAAATCGTGTAAACAAGTCTGCATTTAGTATTTTGTGTGTTAAAATAATTGTGGTGTATATTGTAACAAAAAAGCAAAAATTCCATTAAACGCATAAAAAAAAAACAGTAACCAATTTGTAAACGCGTAAATCAAAAATCTAAAATTAAATAAAAATCGCAAGTCGCTAATCGAAAAGCGTCACTTGTGCGTATTGTCAATTTCTATTTTCGCCGCTGCGCGTGTGTTAAATAAAAGCCGTCAAAATAGAGCTGTTACCAACGCCCACGATTTCCATATCCACGGTTGCGCCGCCGACGCTATCGCCCCACCACCATCCGCACCATCAACACCACCTACTGCAACAGTCCTTTCAACAGCAAACGCAGCCGCATTCCCAGCAGCAGCAGCAGCAGCATCAGCAGCAGCAACAACAACAACCACATCATTCCAATCCGCATACGCCATTTGGTGGTGGCTTTCATCATCCATTCCCTCCACTGTTGCCCCACCAACAGCAGCAGCAGCAGCAACAGCAGCCGCACTCCCAACAACAGCAACAGCAACAACAATCGCAGTCGCAATCGCATCCTAATTTTCTGCTAACACCGCCGCTGCCTGCAACGCCGCAGTCACAACTACAACAGCACCACCACCAACAACAACACATGAAGTTATTGGGTGGTAACGATGATCGTAATGGGCGCGGCGATCAGAATATGCCGCGCGTGCAAGAGGAAGCAACTGGCGGCTTTATTTTTCAACCATCTGGCACTTCGATGCATGACATGGCCGCTGCCGAATATGCTGCACAATTTGCGCAAAAACGCTGGGCTTGCGCTGATGAGCATCCCATTGATGTGAGTAGCATGAAATGTAGAAATTTGCACTGTCATAAGTATTTCGAAGTATTTTCATATAATACCTTAAGTACTATACTCCGGACTACTTCGGACTATTTTTAGAAATTAAACATTTTTAAACCACTTTATTTTGACAGCTATATTGTAATATTTCATTTATCTTATCAATTTAATTTAATATTTTTCTTAAATAGGTGGCTACCCTTTTTTAAAAATATTTTCCAAATTCAACTTTCTTAAAACTCTTTATTTAGATACCTATATTGCAACATTTCATTAACCTTCCCAACTGAATTGCTTTAAATATTTCAAACAGGTGGCAACCCTCCCTGAAAATAGTTGCGACAATAAGCTTTCTTAAACTTCTTTTTTTGATACCCATAATTCAACACTTCTTTAACCTTATCAATTAAATCAAATAAAATTGTTTAACCATCTGGCAACCCTCTTCAAAAATATTTTCCAAATTAAACTTTCTTAAACCTGCATACTTTGATACACAAGTTGTAATATTTCATTTATTTCACCAATTTTATTAATCGAAATTTTTCAAACAGGTGGCAACGCGGTTTTTTTTTTAAAGCAACTTAAAGCCTGTACTATGTTATACCAAAGTTTAATTACTAGAAATTCTAATTGAAATGCTTGCCATTTAGTTGTTTTTTTTTATGCAGAATTTTTGTAATTTTCGCATAAATTTGGAAATTTGGTTTTATATGGTTTTTGTTAGATGATGAGCTTTATTTTTATAAAAAAATAACACAATTTAAACTAGCTAAAACTCGTTAAAATGTCGCGTCCGTGTTTATTTTTCCATCATTATATGTACACATGTATGTATGTATCTATTAATCTATGTCCGTTCGTTGTATTGCATTTATTTAAAAGATGGCTTCAGATTTTTATGCGTGCTTTTATGCTGTGCGAAAAATCAAAAATTTTCACAGCATTTGGCGACGACTGGAAATGTGCCAGGAAAATTAGTGCAAAAGCGAAAATGAAAACAAACCACAGAAAACAATCATCGCACAGAATTTGGATGAAAACAACTGTGTGCAAATAGAAAACGACCACTGAGCGTATGTATGTACATATACGTACCTATAAATTTAACAAAAAAATATGAAATTATCTATTAAAAAAAACTGAATTGTAGCTGCGTTGGGGAGAATATTTTTTAAGTTTTATATCTCGTAAAATTTTAGCAAAACTTAAGGTGCTTGTCCACCACCTTCCTTTTACTGTAGCAGCAGCAGACATCGTAGTTGGCAGACGGGGCCGGTTTGCTACTTCGTATATGTAAGTACATACTATTTGCCGGCGCCGGCGACTCTTCGGGGAGCGCTTGATGTTTGCCTCCTTGGTTGATAGTAATTGTGTTGCATATGTACTTACATATCTATAGATACCTAGTGCATAATAATTTTTTTCGTTTTATCGCCATCTTCTTAAATGAGCAGTGTCGCCTCTGCGTTGTGAAACGATGCGTTGCACATGATTCTATCTACCCAAGTAGGGGGAAATATCCATAAAGGAAGAATTGCAACCACATCAACCTGACTTGCATGTGGCTGGCTGGCTGGCTGTATGTAGCTGCAACTTCCCTGCAGGGAAACCTACTTACAACTTACATATGTATGTACTTGTAGGGAACAAGAATTCTTCTAGTTAACTTTTAAGCTCCTTTTTACATGCTATCGACTGGAACATACATATATTTAGTAGGGTGATATCCTCCGAAGTCTGCCGATTCATCAGCCATGAACGGGATCATATCATTTTACTTTGTATTTTGCGCCACTGCAACAGTCGCAATGGCCGAGAGAGCAAAAGCACTAGCGTGCCATTCGAGAGATCCAAGGTTCATTTCCTCGGCCAGCGGAAACTTTTTGCTTGTTTTAATGTACTAATTTTAAAAATTTATTTAAAAAAAAAAATGAAGTAATTTAATTTCTAAGGTATTTGGAAATGTGGTAACTGTTTTTATGTTTTCAAAATAATTCAGAGTAAATGCTATGTAAAATAGCTCGATCAAATATTTCAATTAACTTATCGACATTTACAACAGGTAGCAAGCCTCTTTAAAAAAAATTTTAGAGAAAAATTTGTAACCTCCTAATATAAAAGTATTTAAAAAAAATTTACTTGACACCGATATTCAAATAATTCATTTAACTTATTATTCAATTGATTTTAAATTACCAAAGTGGCAACCCTCTTAAAATAAAGCCTTTTAAACCTCTATCCTTTGATAGCCATATTTTAATATTTTCTTTAACATGTTAAATAAATTAAATTGAAATTTCGGACAGGTGGCAACTCTCCCCAAAACAAATAAATGTAGCATTATTAAACTATTTTTCCATTGACACCTACATATGTATACATATACATACATTCATATGCTTATTAATGGGCGTCCATTAGCTTATTACCTAAATTGCTTTTTTTGATCAGGTGGCAGCACTTCAAAAATACTTCAGCAATGAAGCATACTTTAAATCTTTCTCATTTGACGCCCATATTCAAATATTTCATTAAACTTGTTCCTTAAATTTATTTTCAATTTCTAAACATGTAGCAACCCTTTTAACAATATTTGCGAAATAAAGCTGTCTAAAACCTCTATCGTTTGACAGCAATATCGAAATAATCCATTTTACTCATTAACCAAATTGATTTTGAATTTTTAAACAGGTGGCAAACCTCCTAAAAAATATTGTCGATATATAAATTTCTTAAGCGAGTATTAAGTATTGAAATAATTCATTTAACGTTTTAATGAAATAAATTTTGATTTCCTAAACAGTTAGCAACCCTCATTAAAGATATGCTCCGAATAAAGCTTTATTAAATCTCTCTTGTTTAATACCCTTATTAAAATATTTAATTTACCTTTTTATTGATTAAGTTTTCAATATTTTATTAATTCACTTAAACTTTTTGAACTGGTAGCAACACTCTTCAAATTTATTTCTTATAGATCGTTGTTGCACTCCTTTCGTTTAACACCCACACTGTTGTAATATTTTATTAAAATTTTTAATTAATAGATTGTAGCTTTAGAAAATGTGGCAACTCTGTTAAAAAATTACCTAAATGTTAATCCAAGTTATAACCCATGTGTGCGCCAAATTTTATTGAAATACGCCCAGCCGTTTTAGCGTGGAAAACAACAACAAACATTTACACACCTCATTCACGCACAAATTTTTTAAAGTTTATAGCACCGTGCGAAAGTAAATTTTACACACAAAAAAATGAAGATATTCGCGAAACTTTGGCTAAATTATAGTAAAACTGCGTATTTAGCTTGTATCTCTGACATCATATTTTTTAAAGACTTTGAAGTTTAAAAAATATGATTATTTAATTTTTTTTTAAATTAGGTCCAATGTAGGATAACAATAAGGGTATCATATAAAAGAAAAAATTCTGTAGAATAATAACAGAATAAAAAATTTTTTTGGTGCATAAAGACGAATGGGTATAGAAAATATCCTTTACAAATTTTGTGCTTAAATATCCTTGAAATTTGCAATATTTTTTTTTTTTTTGAAAAAATTGTAAATCGAATTTGGTCGTGTAAAACTTTATTAACTTAAAAGGATAAAATTGATTAAAAGCGCCAATACCTATTCGTCTTTGTAAACCAAAAAACTTCATTGTTTTTAAACTCTACAATTTTTCTCTCATTTGTGCCCATATTGTTATTCTACATTGCACTGATTTTTTCTAAATAATTTTTTGAATTAATCATATCTTTAGAGTTTCATAGTTCTTTGAGAAAAATCCCGACGTCAGAGTGAAAAATTAAAAACACAGTTTTACTATATTTGGCCCATAGTTTCGTGAGTATGTATATCGATTCTTTCGTGTGTTTTGAAATTTTTTTGTTTTTGTCGCACGGTGTAATATTAGTAGGAACTCGAAATGAAGTTAAATTCAGATAATAGTGATTCATATTTCAAATTCAAATAATACATATTAACTTAAATTTATTTCATTTGAAAATTCCGAACCATCTCCTATGGGATTCGAAGCTGCGATCTTAGAATCAGGCAGGCTACCGCTTTGGCACATACCAGTTCATGAACTGGTATTTTTACTGACTTGTTTGAGTTTTCTTTTCTGCCGCTGTCAACTCGTCTAGCGATAGCTGCGTGTTGCTTTGCTGCCTCAAATTTGTTTAGCCAAAGGGGCAAAATCACGCCAAATGCGTTAACCACATGCTTCGTCTCATTCTCCGCGTGCCTTGGCATATTTCCTCCTTAATTCTTGATTGCAAGTTTTGTTCTTAACTTTATTAAAGTTATTATAGTCACAGTTTGTATTCAGTTTTTTATTTGCTATGATATGCCGCTCTCTCTCGAATGCAAATGCATTTGCTTTCGAAGCGCATTGTGTGTGTTTGGTTTTTGTTGAAGTTTTGCTTCGTGCAGATACAGAAATTTCTAGACATCATACGCAGTGTTGGCGTTTTGATCCAAAAGGATCATAGAATTTTTAAAAGATACTTTTATTTTTAGCTTTGTATAAATTGTGATACATTTTAATTCACAAGTCGAGGGTAACTCTTGCCATTTTAAGACTTTTAAGATTTTAAGGTGTTATCGGCTGGCAGCTTCTCGCTCTAATTCCGCCATATTGACTGCCTTAGGTGAAACAGTGTTACTTCTTTAACAATTCTTAGCCTAATAATATAGTTGAATGTTTTTTTTTTTATTTTTGCTCAGTATACACATTTTGTTTTCTTAAAAAGGTATTTTATCTTATTTTACTTCACTTCAAATTTCAAATTTTTTTTTAGAAGAAAATATGAAATTTTATATTTTTCCCTCAAATGGGGATTAATTTCTTCCCGTTTTTCTTCTTATTCTACTGAGCTAAGGCAGTATCAAATCGCGCTGTCACAACTGATACCACCTTGTATTATTGCATCATGCCTTTAATCTGCATGTGGCATCACTGTTAGCTACAGACAACTAGCCTGTTCC